TAGTGTATTTTACCCATTGTAGGGTTTCTCTCAACTTTTTATTAAATATTATAAAATTTGCTGAGACAGCATTTTTAAAAAATATTTTATTTATTACTTTTATTTTATGTGTATGAGTGAATTGCCTGCATGTATGTGAGTACACCGGTGTCGTGCAATGCTACAGAGGTCAGAAGAGGGCTTCGGATTCCCTTGGAACTGGAGTTAAGAATAGTTCGTAGCCACGATGTTGGTGCTGGGAATCGAACCCAGCTCCTCTGCAAGAGCAGTCAGTGCTCTTAACTGCTGAGCCATCTCTCCAGTCCCTGAGAGAGCATTTTAATGACAACTATGTTCACATTTCTTTTTTGTTATTCTTTAATTAAAAGAATTTACGTGTATGTGTGTATAAGTGCACATGCATGTGGGTACCTGTAGAAACCAGAAAAGGGTGTCAGATCCCCTGGACCTAGAGTTATAGGTGGTTGTGAGTACCCTGTTGTGGGGTGCTGAGGGCTAAACTTAGGTCCTCTACAAGAGCAGCAAGCACTCTTAACTGCTGAGCCATCTCTCCGGCCCCTCTTTCACTATTATTTTTAAATAACAAGGGCTTGCTGTGTTGCCCATGCTGGCCTCTTAGTCCTGGCTCCAGTGATACCTCTGCCTCGGTCTCTTGGGTAGCTGGGACTGTAGCACCTGACTCCTTGCTCCACATTTTTGATTACTTAGACAAGAATCTCAAATGTGGAGCTGGGTTAGTCTAAACGATTTTAGACCTCTTAGACTGTTAACAAAATGTTTAGTGAACTAAGTATCTTGGGGGGAGACTTATACCTCAAACCTTGCGAAAGTCAAAAATTTCACGTTGCAAAATCATTGTTGGATACTGCTGGGTCTGCCTTTGCCACAGTGTGACATGACAACTCACTAAGTGTGGCATCACACCTTCAACAGTAAAGGACAGGCTAGTAACTATTTGAACTTGCATGTTTGCATAGACTTTTCTTGTTTATTTAGGTACTTTTGTTATAGTTACAGTGTTCCTTTAGAGTCTCCTAATAGCAAATGAACAAGGCTGTGTTTAATGGTCCATTAATTAGAAGGCTTTAGGCAGATTTACATTTTCATCCTTGTATTTCTAATACGTTTATGCAAATCAAGACAATTCTTAGGCTTCACGGTGTAAGATAAGGCCCAGTGCCAAGGTAACATTTTATATTAGAGCAAGGCTACAGAACATGGGACCCTTGGGCCATGTCCAGCTAACACCACGGTAAGAACAGTTACTCACCCCTGTTGATCGGGAGACAATATAGAACTCGGGGGACTCCAGAGTGACATCTAAAGAGTCAAGAGGCCACTTCTGCCTAAATGAAATCTGGTTAGGTGCTAGGCCTGTTGTATCTCTCCCTTCTCCCCCTTCTCCCTATTCCTAGGATCAAACCAAGGGCCTCACTTGTGCTAAGCAAGTGTTCTACCACTAAGCTACATTCCCAGCTGTAATTTTTTTTCAACTTCCTACATTCTTCTCTGAAACATCCACTCCTTTACCCCCAACTCTCCACTGTCAACATCACATTAAGGGACAGTTTCTGGGGCTGGAGAGATGGCTTAGCAGTTGAGAGCATATACTGTTCTTGCAGAGGACTGGAACATTGTAATTCCAGCTCCGGGGGATCAGATGTTTCTGATCTCCGTGGGCATCTGCACGCATATGCCCATACCCTGTCCCCATACATATAATTAAAAATAATAAAAATAAAACATTTAATGGATAGTTTACACTAGCTTTCCAATTTCTCTGTACTTCCAGAAGAATCTTTAAAAACCCAATCAAGTTAAATTTTTTTGCTTCAAACTCTTCAGTCATTGCTCAAGGATGTCAGAGCACTGCCTGCAATGAACCTTTGGAGCTGAAGTAACTGGCTTCCGTGCTGGCTGCCTCCTCTTCTGAATGGTCCAGTCTGAGAAAAGTAGCCACACCAGCGCACAAGAGCACACTCTTCCAGATCTCCATGCTCTGACCATGCTGGCTCTCTCTGCCTGAATGACTTTTTGCTTCTTTTCTATGGACTCAACAGTTGCTCATTCCCAAGGATTTCAGGTCAAGCAACAACTCTCTTGAGAAGGCTTTCCTTCCCTGAATGCCTCCCCCTCCTTCCAAGGAAGCTGCCTGCTCTGTGTTCCTGGAAGCTCCCTGTGCTTGCTTCCCCTGCCTCTGCCCCCAGGCATCATAATTACAGTCTCTCTTGCCTCTCACTGGGCTGTGAAGAATTTGAGGACAATGACCTATGCCATTTATTTCTGCTACCGAAAGCAGCAGCTGAGATCAACCCAAGGGAGCAAAAGGTAAGGAGAAGAGGATCAGGGTAGACAGGGATTCTGAGGACAGACAGAGGCACAGAAGGGAAGCGGGAGAGGCTATTTCACAGAAGTGGAGGGAGGGCAGTGACAGCAGGAAGAACAAGCCACCATGCAAAATGCTGCCAAAAGGTTAGGCACAACAAGGTCTAAAACATGTCCCAGTAGGCATGGGTCACCTCAGGGAGAATACTTCAAGTGGAGTAACAGAGACAAACAAGGCTGCACAGGGCTAGAAGGCAAATGGAAAGCAAAGACTTAGGAGCAGCTGGGGAAATTATATTCTTGCAAGAAGTACCTCTGCTACAGTCTGCATGAACCTGAAGACGCTGTGCTGAGTGAAATTAAGTCTCACAAATGGACAAGTACTGTACGATTCCACTTATATGATGTAGTTACATTCATGGGAAGAAGGAAAGATGGTGGGGAGGGAGGAGTTGCTATCTAAGGGCAAAGGGCTGCAGCTTCACAAGATTAAGTGTTCTGTGATGGATGGTGGTAATACCAGCACAATAATGTGAAGGTACTTTATGCCACCAAACAAAATCCTAAAAAAAATGGTTAAAATAGTGAATTTTATGTTCTGAAAAATCTTGTAATTAACAAAAAACACTGTTATTAAGAGAATAAGATGGGAACTGCTACAGCAGGATATGGGATCAAGAGGGCTCCGTGTGTTTTTTCAACAGAGAAGCAAGAAACTTAAGCATGGTAATTACCTGAGACAAGACTGTTGCCCAAAGAGTGGCAAAGGGAGTCCATTTTGGTGTGTGGATCCTAAGAATTAGCCTGGACCCACAGGAGGGCTGGCTCCTGCCTGAGGGGAGGAGAGACTAAAGTCTGTTAAGGTACACACGGGAGTACAAAACAGGCAAGAAATAAACATAAAAACGAAATCTGACAGCTTTTGAAGGAAATGGCTGGGGGTGGACTGGAAAGGGGAAGAGAAAGGCGGTAAAGAGTCACAAAAAGGTGTTTATGGGACTGGCAACAGGAGTGTACAGACCGCAGGGAGAGGGGTTATTAGGCAACTCTGCGCACCTGGCTGAGAAATCATGACCTTGCAATGGGCCTGGTGGTCCCTATCATGAATGACTTGCAGACTGGGCTTCTGGTTTGGACAAGCAAGTAAGGTGTATAGTCAGTCTGAATTTCAGTCTCCAAGATTACCCAAGAAGTAGAATGCTTCCAAGAGGAAGAATGCTGTCAACTACAGGCTCGAGCATTCTGGGAAGCGTGTGGCAAAGGAAGGAGACACAGAGGCTCAGACACTGGAAAATGAAGGGCAGATGACAGAAATTCACAACAACCAAGAACAGCATGTGAAGAGAAGAAAAGGATTTAAGGGACCAAAAGATGAGAAGACTCAATCAAGTATGTAGTGAAACAACAGTTTAACTCTTTCTGAGGTGTGACAGTTCTGATCCCTACCAGATCCAGTATTGGCCAGGCTGTAAGTAATCAGTCTTATCCAGAGGGGAAGTTGCTCTGTGCTTCCCTTCTAAAGATATAATTAAGGTGATCTTGTATGAGTCTTACTCTCTGGATTCAATTTTCTCTTTACTCCATCTCCTAAGCCAGCACACTAATTTCTTTGAGATTTATCCTACTTTTATTTACATATATGTGTGTGCACACATATGTGTGCAGGTGTCTGTGGAGCGCAGAAGAGGGCATTAGATCCCCTGGGGCTGGAGTCAGAGGCAGTTGTGAGCCATCTGACATGGGTGCTAGGAATCAAACTCAGGTCTGCTGGAAGAGCAGCAAGCACTATTAGCTGCTAAGTCATCTCTCCAGTTCATTTTTCATTTTTCTTCTTTAGGAAATCTCTTATGACTGGATAGACACCATACATTAAACATCCTTCCTCTACTTTTATTCTTCTATGACATCTGAACTATTATCCCTACTCTATACTAAAATCATGAGTAGTTTACAAAAAACAAACAAACAAACAGACAGACAGACAAACGAAAAACAGTAAAGCCTATTAACAGCCATGAAAACAAGCAGTGACTTATTTGACAGTGGCTCATTTCCTAAGGTCAACATTTCCTGAAGCCAATGCCACTCCTGAAAAAGCCAGTAAAACAGTAACTATCACTGTCAATTCTTTCAAAGGCTAAGAATGATTGTTCTATATCATCTTGTTTAAATTACCGTGAACAGACCAGAAGGGCACCTTGGGTTATGAACCTTACAGCCCGTGGGAAGGGAAAATGAATGTGCTCCTTTTATTCAGTCTAGCTTCTCACAATGACAGTATTCCCTTTTCATTTGGAAGTGAGACCCTTTCTTGTATAGCATCTTCTCACTTCAAGAGTGACAAGGACAACTGTCCTTTCAGTCTTCCGGGGTTTGAACAGTTGCCACATGGTCTCAAACACCCTGTCAACACATGCCAACACTGGCTTTCTCTACAGCAATGTGAAAGCAAAATCTCAACATTTTCAAAATAGCCTGGCTCCTCTTCTGTTTGGACTACAGAGAAAATGTTTTGAAGTTATCTCTTACTGAACATTCTGGAATTAGTTAAGCATATCACCTGTATCTCTGCTCAAGCACAGGTTGTTCTCTGTCACTTTCAACATCTGAACACCAGAATAGTCTGGGCAACAGAACCCTATGTGGTTGGCACATGGCTTTCCTCTGAATCCTACCTGTGTGTCCTCTGAACGTTGTGACCAGCGTGCAGTTTTCTTGCTCCAGTTTAAGAATGGTTACTTGGCCCGAATGATCACCGATAAACACATGCCGAGTTTCAACATCAAATCTATCATGTAAGCATTAAGGATTGTTTCTCAGAATTGAAGTGGGGATTTATAGTAGGGGGGAAAAAAACCTCACATTAGTTTAATAAGGAATATGAAATGTCATGTCAGGAAAAGTTGAAGAGAGGTGTTGAAAGATACAAAAATGAACTTAACAAAGGATATACCACATTACTAGACAGACAAAGATGTATGTCACTAAATTAATTTACACATGTAACATCTCAATAAAAGTATCAACATATTTTTCTGGAGCTAGATATGTTTTTTTTTCCAAAAAACATATGTAAAAAATAAATAAGCAAGAAGATCCAGGAATACTTAAAAATAAGAATAACATGCAGCAGGAGGTCAGATCTACCGGATACTACAAAATGCTACAAAGCTGTTTTTTTCCGAGAGGGGAGTGTTAAAACACACTTTAATGAAAACACTTTTTCACCATCTTTAAATAAAAAGGCCTTGTGCAATTGGTTTCAGCTGAAGCTGTTCTAACTTCAGGGCTAATTACATCCTGCTCCTTGGGTTTTAGAGGCCACTGACTGCCAACTCCCTGGTGTTTGGGGCACATGGTTGGATGCTCTGTTGTGTTGGAAGTCCTTGTGGCAACTTTACTCAGCAACTGCTTCATCGTTTTCAGTTTAGCATTCACTGCTGGCATATTTCTGATGAATGGGGGTTGTGCCTTTTTCTAATTCAAGCACACTTATATCTTCTGTCCTGGTATGGATATCTTTTTGTACTTTCTTTCCTGGTAACTATGTGCAGCTTATGAGGGTGCTGTAGAGCCTCACCATATTTTTCATAATCTGCAGGTGAATGTGAAACACTTTATCTGGAATTCTTGGTAGACTGGTGAGGAATCTTATCTGTGCAGATGAGATGCTGTGCCTTTTGTCACAGTAGATAGTCTGTTAGGGAAGGCTGTTGAATTACTGAGTATGATCCCTGCCCTAAGCATGGCGATGGTTCTCTTTAGACGTAGTACCTGCTAAAAGTCCAGACTACAAGATTTTTTAAAAAGTGTGCTTATTGGTGAATAGACAAATAGACCAGTGAGCTAGGATAGGAGGCCTACAGACCCCAAAAGCACACAGAAATCTAGTACATAGCTGATAATGATAGCTCTTCAAGTGAATAAGGTGATGGATTAAAAAATTACATTGACACAAACTACATAGGATATTTTTATAGCATTTTAGGTTCACAGAAAGCTTAAGTATGGAAATCTATATCCATGTCCTCTTCCCCATCTCCAACTTCCAGGAGAAGGGGTTATTTGTTACAAATGGTAAACTTGTGCTGGCATGTGGAATGGTTATTGTTTATTGTCAACTTGGTGGGATTTAGAATCATTATGGAAACAAATCTCTGGGCATGTCTATAAGAGATTCTTAAGGTGGAAAGACCCAACCCAGCTATGGGTAGTGCTATTCTGTGAAGTGTGTGCATGCACACCCACACTGAATAAAAAGAAGACTGGATGCAATGTGATCTAATAGCTGCCACCTGTTCCTGCCTCCATACTTTCCCTGTCATGATAGACTGTAATCCATGGACCTGTAAGCCAAAATAAACTGTTCTGTTCTAAGTTGCTTTTGTCTGGTATTTTATTACAGCAACTAGACAGGTAACTAATATAACATGTCATTATCATCCAGAATCCTTTCTTACTTCAGAATTTACTTTGCTGTTGTACACTGTGTGGATCTGAACCAGTGTGTCTACCATTGTACTATTATATGAGAAATTTCACTGCCCTAAAATTCCTTTGTGCTCTACCTGTTCTTTCCTCACCAAGCCTTATGACTTACTGCCATGAGCCCACTAGCCTTGCTGTATTAGCTTTGTTTCCTGTTGCTGAGATAAGATACTCTGACAAAAGCAATTTAGAGGAAAAAGGGTTTATTTTAGATGATAATTCTAGGTTACTGTCCATCATGGTGGGGAAGTTGAGACAATAGGAACTTGAAGCAGCAGGTCACATCCACAGTCAAGAGCAGAGAGAATGAATGCATGCATCTTTTCCTTGGCTTGCCTTCTCCGCTCTTACATAGTTCACCCCTGCCTGGGGAATGATGGTGGCACATGCCTTTAATCCCAGCACTCAGGAGGCAGAGGCAGAGGCAGGCAGATGTCTGTGAGTTCAAGGATAGCCTGCATAGTGAGTTCCAGGACAGCTGGGGTTACGGGGAGACCCTGTCTCAAAAAGACCAAAAAAAAAAAAGATCAAAATATGGTCAAATAAACTGGGCATGGTGGCATGCCTTTAGTGCCAGCACTTGGAAGGCAGAGGCAGGTAGATGAATCTCTGTGAGTTCGAGGCCAGCCTGGTCTACATAGTGAGTTCTAGGCCAGTTGTGGCTACAGGGAGACCCTGTCTCAAAAAGACAAAAAAAAAAAAAAAAAAAAAAAAAAAAAAAAGAGGTCATATGGTAAGATACCATCAGGTGATGATGAATAAGGACTTTTCAAAATTAAAGACTAGCAAGTAAAGAACGGAAGGAAAACATTCCCTCTCCTCTACCCATTTCCTGGGAACCTTTGGGAAATGGCTGTTTTCTAGAGTGTGCAATTGTGCAGAGGACTAGCTGAGAATCCTGTACCAGGTTCTAATCCTGTTCTGCCGGTAAAAGTTCAACAACCTTGAGCAAATCCCTCAGCCTTTCTGGCTTTTCTAAGCCTTCACTGCTACTTTATGGAAACTGAGCACATTATTGTTCTGCTAGTGAAGGGGGGTGGGGGACAGAAGCACTCTGAATTCCTGACTGCAGAGGTTAAGAGGTCTTCCTTTCCCTTGCCTCCCTCATTACTAACTATTGTTACTATTACCAGTCAGTATTTGAAGTTTAAGATCTACAGCCAAAATAACCAAGGACTTTGACATTTGTTGGAACCGACAGTTCTCTATCTGCTTTGGTTTCTTGACTCGAGCTTTGGTTCTCATTACTGCCTGCTTCTCTACAAAGAGGCCTAAAAGAGGAGGAAAAAGTCTGAACTTAATCTGTTTTGTTCTGTCACTTGGATGAATGACAGGTGGAGATGGGACAGTACTATGTCATCTGTTGTGGTCTTTCCTGTTCCACTAAATGTCCTTTGTAAAGATAAGAGAGGCAGCAAGTTAACACCCAGCTTTATCAGATTCTCCTCCTCTTCCTTTCGATTAAAAAAATAGAACTCTTCAGGGTAAAGCATGGAAGGAAAATGGGAAGGAAAGAGTGGGGGCAGGACTCATGATAGTGAACCCTAACTGTGCAATGACTTGCCTACTAACCATCTGTCTAGCAGTCAAATTGGGGCAAAGGGAAGGGAACCTTCTTGCCTTGGGGGGAAAAAAAATGACACGGTTCTTGGCTGAGACGCCCAGGCAAAAGCATAGTGCTGTCATACTATTAATGTGCAACACAGCAAAAACACTCAGGACTAAGGACTATCATTATGGTTCTAAAGCAGGAGCTAATGGAGCAGAGAATCTTCTAGAAGGGCATTTCTGTGGAACTAAGCTCCCCCAACCTTCACAGTGAGGGAGGATAGAACTAAAGCCCAGAGAGCTCATGATTATAACACACAAACACACACAGGCTGCTGATAGCCAATAATACGATTTTCTGCTTGGTAAACACAAAATAAAGATTTTTTTTGGTGTGTGTGTGTGGGAGAACTAGGAGAACTAAGAGTTACAATTGTATATAAAGATTAATATGGTAAGGACAAGTTTGTGTAATTTTTTTTACACTTCTCATTTTCAGATAATTTGAAAGGTTATCTTCTTTTAGGTAAGATCTGTTTCTTTGCTCACACTGCTTGGCTTGGCAAAGCAATACCGAAGATAAATAGAAGACACATCAAGTTTAGCAAGGGTTACCGATGCCAGCCCCAGAACAAATCACAGCCTACTGTTAGTTCTGGTGTCAAAGGGATGTGGCAGCACAATGGGAAACAGGCCAGAGTCCAAGGCTACTCACTTGCAGGGTGGTATCAGATAAGGCATGGGACCCTTTCCAGGCTTCAGCTGGTTCATCTGAAGAATGATGGTCAATTTTTGAAAAAAATATATAATTGACAAATACACATTTTCAAGATGTATAACATGATGATTTGGTTTTGTACCCATCATGCATGATGACCATAATCAAATGAACAGATTATTACCTATAGTTCCCATTTGTGTGAGGGTGCTAAGGAAGACTGAGTGCTTTGTGTTTCCTCCCATATTCCTATGTTGAAACCTAATCATCAGTGAGATGGTATTAGGAGACCTTTGGGAAGGGATGAGGTCATGTGGGTGGTATCCTCATGAATAGGGCTTGCATTCTTACAAAAACCCACAGAGAGCTGCCTTGCCTTTCCTGCCAAGTGAGGACACATCTACAGAGTAAGAAGCTAGTCTTCAGCAGACATGGAATCTGCTGGCATCTTGATCTTAGATTTCAGTTTCCAGAACTGTGAGAAATACATTTTTGGAGTTTATGGTGTTCACTAAAACAGCTTAAATGGACTAAGAGTGAGTAAAGGCCCTAACAGTTCTAATACTCTAAGAAATCATTGACCTGTTAGCAATAGAATTCATGTATTTTTTACTTTGTGTGTGTGTGTGTGTGTTTGTGTGTGCGTGCACATGTACTATAGCACACCTAAGGAAGTCAGAGGACAGATTCAGGTGTTGGCCCTCACCTTCTACCTTGTTTTGAGGCAAGGTCAATTTGTTGTTTGGCTGCTGCATATGTATACCAGGCTAGCTGGCCTGTGGGCTTCTGGGAGGCTCCCATCTCCACCTCCCATCACCATTATGTGGGTTCTGGGCATTCAAACCCAGGCTCTCACATTTGCATGGCAAGCACTTTACCCACTGAGTCATCTCCCCAGCCCAAACTCATTTTTCTTTTAATTTTTAAAATTTGTTTATGTGTTTAAGTGTTACACTTGCATGTATGTAAATACACTGTGTTGTGCAGGACTGGTGGAGCCCAGAAGAGGCTGTTTAGATAGCTGCCTTGTGATTGCTGGGATTTGAACCCAGGTCTTCTTTAAGAGCAGTCAGTGCTCTTAACTACTGAATTCTCTCTCCAGCCCAACAAAATTCATATATTTTAAGTGTTATGCTCATCTGAATGCTCTTCAGGAAGTAAACTCTACAGTTTTTTGTTTATTGTGTATAAGTATTTTATCTACATGTATGTAAGTTCACCATGTGCATGGAATGCCCACAGAGGCTCGAAGACAATGTCACGTCCTCTGGAAATGGAGTTACGGAAGGTTGTTAGCCACCATGTGGGCACTGGGAAATGAACCCAGGTCCTCTCAAAAGTAACCAGTACTCTTAACTGCTGAGCCATCTCTCCAGGACCCTCTGAGGTTTCTTGCATGTACATGTGGTATTACCCTCTCCCTGTCATCCTTGCCTCTGGTCTTGGTAACTCTCTACCTCTACAACCTTACACAATGGCCATTTTATCTCTTCATCTTACCCTTCCAATGAGAAAAATGGTGGTGTTTGCTTATATACACACAAATATACACATAGCCACAGAACTGCAAGGAAATTGCAGCATACTTTGCCATACTGAGAATCAATGACTAGGCACTTCATAAATTCGAGATGAGAATCAAAAACCAGCCCTCACCATTGCTTCCTGCCTGTGGATAGGTGTTCTTTGTAGACAGGGTCTCTCTGTAGCCCCAGCTGGCCTGGAATGTGCTATGTAGAGCAGGCTGGCTTCAGTCTCACAGAGATCCATTTGCCTATGCCTCCCGAGTGCTGAGATCAAAGATGTGCTCTACCATGCCTGGCCCAAAAATATTTTTTTTAATGAACAGGAATCCTGTGGTTCTTTCTCCAAGTACCAATGCGGTGTTCACAACCTTAAGGGGAAATTATTTGGCTATTAAAACCAAATGTTATATTTTGCTGGTGGTTTAAAGTCCATGTAGCATATTCTGACAGTTGAGGCTCACACACTGGGCTGTGTCCTTTGTAGGTGTCAGCACTGTGTCACAGCAGTCAGCACAGAGTGTTACTTTAGAGGCTATTGCCTCACTCTATTGTGGGGACCCACAATGATTTGTACCTTAAGAACACAGAGAAACAGCACATAACAAAAGAGAAATCCTTTAAGTTAGGCATATACCAAATTTTCCATGAATCAACAAGTTCAAAGGGTTTTGTCCAGAAAAGGATACTGCAGGCCTGAGGCCACAGCGTTGGTGCGGTAAACTCCCAGGCGCTGCCCACTCTCAGAGCAGTGCCAGGCAAACTGCTTGTCCTGTCCCGTGCTTAGCACCCACTCCAACTCCAGAACAAACAGGATCATTGTCACTCTGCTCTGATGTGCTGAAAAACAAAGAGACAAGAAAAGATGGATAAAGAGCATCCTGAGGGAGGTGGAAAGGCTCCACAGTGCCACCCTTCTCTTCTCCCCACTCCAGAAGCTGAAGCAGTGTCAGGGACAGGGCAGAACAGCAGCTCTTGTCTGGGATGGAGAGGATGCCCTGTAGATACTCCTTTCAGTTGCTTGTTTATTTATAAATGATCATCTCTTCCTAGTGCTCCCCTCATATTCTACTTGTGCCAACCCAAGAATTACTGCCTCAAGAGCTCCCCACCCAAGAGCCTGGGCCACCTTTCTTGACCTGCTAAGGCTAGTAGATCCAGTGTGACCACAAGACACATTAGGAACAGCATTCATAACAGTCATTGTGGTCAGTTTATGTACACTTCCCAAAAACGAATGGCATACTCTTCTTTTGTTGAAATCTTTTCTAAACTTATAACAAAATTTCTGACACATTTCTGTCAGAAATCAATGGCTTTGAGAGGAGGAAACAAATATGAAAAGAGAATGAAATATTTAGTATGCCAAAGTGCATATACATGAGATAATGAAAGCAAATTTTCACTACTCAGATGCTTGTTTAAAAATCTTTGAAAATGGGGCTGGAGAGCTGGCTCAGCAGTTAAGAACACTTGGTGTTCTTCCAGAGGACCTGGGTTTGATTCCTAGCATTCACATGGCAGCTCAAAACTATCTGTAACTCCAGTTCCAGGGGATCCAACACCCTCTTCTGGCCTCTGTGGGCACTGCATGAATGTGGTGCATTTAATAATACATGCAGGCAAAACAGTCACACACATAAAATAAAAATAATAAATAAAATTTAAAACAATCTTGAGGGCTGGAGAGATGAGAGCACCCGGTGCTCTTGCAGAGGACCCAGGTTCAGTTCCCAGGCTCCAGTTCCAGGGGATCTGGTTTCTCTGGCCTCCACGGGCACTGCACAGACATAGACTCAGACACATAGATACAGACACAGAGACAAAGAGACACCGACACAGAGACACAGACATACACACACACGCACGCACGCACGCACACACATAAAAATAAATCTTTAAAAACAGGATTTTTGCATCACATAAATTCAGAGTGAAAAGAGACCTGTCATTCCATCTAGCCACCTCCATATTGCTCATTTTGCTCATCTGTTAAACTGAGGCAAGTAAAGCCGGGTGGTTTGGTTCTGGCCTCACATCTCAGTTACCAAGTGAACTCAGGTGGGAGCTTTTCTTTCTTGTTATGCAATTCGTGGCAATGAACCCAGGTGCACAGAAGGAAGACATTCTGTGACCTGGCTGGTGGTCTGACAGGGCAGGAATGTACTCTTTGGTGAGTGTGGGGAAATGATAGAGAAGACCTAGATTTCCCATCTAGATTACCAAGCAGTATAGACAGTGTGGGTAGGTTAATTGCAGCCCCACTGCAGTAAGACCATCTGCCAATTTCAGTGTTCAACAAGTGCCAAGTGTTTAAACACATCTCTCAATCACTGTAAGGCCTGCATGTGGGGAACCTCCTAATTTTACATCACACCAGACCTTCAAAAAATCACTGTTCTCTCCTCCCCTACCCAGGGGTGGCACTACCACAATGTGCTGAGGCCTCCAACAACAATCAGGCATCAAGAAAATGCCCCATGGACATGTGCAAGGCCAATCAAATACAGACAATTCCCCAACTGAGGTTCTCTCTGCCCAGGTGTGTCAAGTTGACAACTGAAGCCAGTCATGGCCCACAGTATCAGCAACCATCAAGCTCAAAACACAGTCCTTCACTGAGAATGTGCTGATGTTCTCTCATGCTAACATGATGTTATCTCATGTACTGAAGATCTTGTTGACTGTGCCGTAAGTTTTCAAATTCCACCAGTGATGAGAATCAAAATGAACTCTCTAAGGGTTTAAATATATCCAAGTCTTTTCCGGTGAAAAGTACCCTAGCTTCTCATCCTTTCTCCGGAAGGAGCTTTGACCTTTGTTACTTTCTCAGGCCAAGAGGACAAGTACAACCCATGAAGATAAGGGAATCAGCTCCTGGAGTGTGCCAGGAGACAGAGGCTAGAAATGTTACTTGGCTTGCTCAAGAGTGTACTAAACTGAAGAATGACAAAACTGAAGAGTGACAAAATAATGACAAAGCTAGAATCAAAAGCTTGGTCTTGGGGGCTGGAGAGATGGCTCAGCGGTTAACACTGGCTGTTCTTGCAGAAGACCTGGGTTCAAATCCCAGCACCCACATGGCAGCTAACAACTGTCTGTAACTCCAGTTCCAGATCTGACAGCCTCTTCTGTCCTCCGTGGGCACTGCATGACATGTGTGCACTTACCTACATGCAGGCATACACGCATACACATAAAATAAAAATAATAAAATATATTTAAAAAAAACCTTGGTCTTAGCTGGGTGCAGTGGTGCACAACCTTAATCCCAACACTCAGGAGGCAGAGGTAGGTGGATCTCTGTGAGATCAAGGACAGCCTGGTCTACAAAACAAGTTCTAGGCCAGTTAGGGCTACAGGGAGACCCTGTCTCAAAAAACCGAAAAAAAAAACAAAAAACCCAAAAACCAAAACCCCCAAAAAACCAAAACCCTGGTTTTGGGTTGGCAAGATGGGTCAGTGGGGTAAAGGCACCTGCCACTAAATCTACTGATCTGAGTTTGATCCCAGGGCCCTAAATGGTATAAGAAGAGACCCAATTCCAGCAAGCTGTCCTTTGATCTCTACATTCATACCATAACAAGGGTGCACCCAGACAGACACACCAGACAGCACACGTGGGCACACGCACACACACACACACAAAAAAAATGTAAAAACAACAACCAACAAACCCCTGACCTGCATGGCAAAGTCAGTTCTTCTTGGTATCAGGCTGTCAGTGGGGAAAAACCCTTGAAAGGCAGGTACTTATCATTAAGCTTCAGAAACTCCTAAGAAAATGTGGGCATGACATCTGGCTTCTTGAATAGGAATGAGGAGAGAAGCAGCCTTGTTTTGGTCCTGATCTTAGCAGGGGAACATCTGTTTTCTCACCATTCTGTAATTAGCTACAGGATTCTGCAGATGGTTCTTTACCAAGCTGAAAAAGTTCTTTTTCCCTAGCTTTCTGAGTTTTAATTGTGAATTGGATTTCATTAAATGTTGTTTCTGCATTGCTTTCTATTTCATTTTTGGTGGTGTTAGGGATGAAAGGATGGTCTGTGCATGCTAGACAAGCTCTCCACCACTGAACTACATCCCCAGCCTTTTTCTGCACTGATTTACATGTGATATTATTTTTCTTCTTTGGCTTGTTGCTGTAATGGGTTGTTTTTTAAAATTATATATATATTGAAAATCCTAATGAGTTTACTGGGCTTGCTAACAGAGGATAGTGTAAGGGGTTATTTACAGAAGAGTGCCCCACCCCTCACGGCTGCACTGGAAAGTCCACACTCAAATATAGATCCTGTGACTTCCCAACAGCCGCACAAAATGGTGAGAGAGGTGCCTCATGGCGTTCTTGGCTTATACATACTTAGCCCCTCCCTCATATGCAGCTAAGGTCAACTGACTGGGTAGGAGGGGTAACTGACTCCTTGATGAGTGTGGGAAGAAGGTGTGACTATTGTGACTATAGCTTGCCAGCATAGTGGTTGGAGGACACTTCTAGGTAACACTCCACCCCTTCCTCCAGCTCTTACATTCTTTCTGCCAACCTCTTCCACAAAAGTCCCTGAGCCTTGGAGGGGGTGACAGGTGTGAGATAATCTTCCGCCCATTGTGGCAAGGCACTGAACTTTCTGGTGTCTGCATCATCTGTTTTCCATGGGCTGTTGGCCCATTTCAATGGGATTCCATCTACTATAAAAACACAAACAGCAAGAAGCAAGAACATCTGAACGGTGGCTGCTATAATATTCTATGGGTGTAAACACAATGCTTCAACGGTACATTAGCAGGTGCATCACATCCATTTAATAAAACAATTGCAGTGGGCTTTTTAATTTATGTGTATATGTGTGCCTGTTTGTTTATATGTGCACCACATGCATATAGGTGCCTGAGGAAGGCAGAAGAGGGCATGGGATTCCCTGGAACTAGAATTACAGATGGTTGTGAGCCACCATGTGGACAATGGGAACTGAACCTGGGTCCTCCACAAGAGCAGCAAGTCTTCTTAACTGCGGATACATCTCTCCAGATCTCATGATGACTATGTTAATTTTTGGATGAAGTGCTCTGAGTAGCTGGGATAAATCTCACTTGGTCATATACATAATTCATTTGTACATTGTTACATTTGATTTGCTAAGTTTGGGGGGAGATGTCCTACCTATTCTCATGAGGCACCAGTGCATAATTTCCTTTTCTTGTTATATCTTTGGTTCTGGTATTACTAGTTGATTTTTATAAATTACTTACTGAGATAAAATTCACCACTTTAACCATTCTGGATTGTAATAATTCACTGGCTTATAGTATACTGACAATGTTATTTAGTCACCACCATCACCATTTATTTCCAGAACATTTCCTTCATCCCCAAATGACAATTAAGTACTTAGATCAACTGCTAACCTATTTTCTGTCTCTATTGAGGCTCTGGTTCTTGACATTTCACATAATCACATGACATGGCCCTTTGGGTCTGGCTTCTTTCACTTAGCATAATGTTTCAAAGCTCACATTCTATAGCATGAATTATCAGCATTCCATTCCTTTTTATGGCCAAATTTTTATTATGTGTATACAAGTTTTTGTGTGCATGTGCTACAATTCTAGAAATGCTGCAGCATAGGGTAACTATGTTTAATTCTTTGAGAACTTGATAGAATGGTTTTCAAAGTGACTATATCATGTGACATTCCCATCAGCAATTCTTCCGTATCATTCCCATTCTGTATTTTTTTTTCTTTATTTTTCGAGACAGGTTTTCATTCTATAGACAAGACTGGACTTGAACTCACTATCCTCCTGTCTTTGTTTCCCAAGTGCTGGGACTGTAGGTGAGC